CCCCGCCCTCCCCGTTCCCTCCTCGGAGCCAGAGCGCGCAGCCACCCAGGTATGCGTAGCCGAAGTCTCGGGCGGGCCCCGGCCTGTCCTGCGAGCAGCGAGCATTCCAGGAAGCAGCCCCGGGGACCCAGGGCTCCCTGAGTGCGGCCCTCGGGGACCGGGTGTCCAGGCCCGTCCCTCTCCGCCCGTCTGCTAGATGGATGGCACGAGGGGCTGTGATCCCTCCCAGCCTCCTCCTTCCGCCCCATCTGCTTCTCATCCGGGGCCGGAGTCATCACCTGGCCGGGGAGGGGCCTCAATCGCAATCTCGGTTGCCTGCGCTCTCAGGGACGCTCTAGGGAGGGGGTGTTCAGGGGTCCAGGCCCCCTCCTACCTGCCTGTGTAACATGTCTGTTCCCTTCTTCCCCCAGGTGGCTGCCCCCTCCCTCTCCTGGGATGTCAGGAAGGAGGGGGCCACCCGTGTCCTCTACAGGGGCCCCGCCAAGTCTGGGGGCCCCCGGCCCTGGCCCTCAGAGGTGCTGACAGGTCTGGTAACCACCTGCTGCTTCCCGGTCCTCCTGGGCTCCCAGAATGAGTAGAGTCTTCGAAACCCACCCCCTTCCCCAGGTTTTTCTCACCCCATGGGTTTCACACATGGGGACACTGAGGCCTAGCAGGACAGGGGCAGTGTCTTGCTTTATTAGTAGCAGTTTTGAGCTGAATATGAGTCTCCTTGGAATTCCGGATTCTGGCTTCCAAAACTGCAGGACTCAAGCCAGATGTGGTGATGAACGCCTGTAACCCTAGTACTTGGGAAGCTGAGGCAGGAGGATCACTGTGAGTTCAAGGCCAGCCTGAATGACATATGAGACCCTGTCTCAAAAATCAACAAATTTTAGGAGAGTTTTCTCAGGGTTGTTGAGGCTGGAGAGCAGAAGTGAGCTGCTCAGACAGAATTCAGATGCCACCTCTGCCACTTGCTGGCTGTGTGACCTGGTGCAGGTCCTTAACCTCTCTGAGCCTGCATTTTGCTTTTTCCTTGGCTATGAGGTAACAGTGGTTGGATAATTATTAATCTAGAAGTTGGGCCTCACCCAAGTCCTACAATATAGGGTCCCACAGTTCCGGCTTGCAGGCTGCCTTGGGGCTCCCCTTGTTCCCCATGTTTCCCCCACTACTCTAACCCCTGCCCCCCTTTCTATTCGCAGGTGCTCGGAGATGCGCCCCCACCCCTGCTGCTCCCTCCCCATCCTCCTCCTCTCCCTCTTCCCCAGTGCCCCCGTGGGGTGCCACCCCCCACCCTCCACACTACCCCCATTTCCAGCCCCCGAGCGGGACCTCCCGTCCCCCCGAGTCGCGCTGTCCCGGGGGGCCCCTGCTGGG